ACCCTAATGATTCTATGATTCTATAAATAGATCTACCATTACAGTCCATCGTTTTGTGTTTACGTGAGGTGAAGAAGTTAGCTCACGTTTCCCCCAGGCACTTGGGGACCAGCGGTTGCTTCAGACTCATTTAGCTTCATATTAAGAGGAGGGGGTGGTCTTCCTAGTCATGTCAGTCGGCTCTACCATGGTGCTGGTATGCAGGGTTTGTGTCGGAGTATTTTGTCCAGAGCAGCGAGAGGCCCAAACGGTGAGATGGGACATGAGTAGTGGATTCAAATGTACGAAATTGCAGGGACACATGCTAAGAAATGCCTTTTAGCATGTAGCTAAGCCTCTCTCTTGGGAGGGAGAGAGTGACCTAACGTGAACAGGGGTATAAGAATCAAACTGACAAGTCAGATAAGCTGTGTTACACCCAACTAATGATTGTCATGAACAGCTGTTCTTAGAGAAAGTACTGTAAGAATTCAGTAAGAGGTAACTGAGGAATATTTGAGCTCTTGATAGCCTTTCCCCCAGCCTTGAATGAATAGGGGAGTGAAAGCAGTAAAACTTCTTACTGCTATTATTGGCCACTGAAATTCATTTTAGGCTACACTGTTAAGTCACTCTTTGTGCTACTTACTACCAGTTGTCTCAGAAGGCTGGGATGATCGCAGTTGTGTTTAACTTCAGTCTTGCCAGCACAAGGTTTGTTTGGGGTTTTTGGTTTGTGTCTGGGGGGAGGTGGGGTTCGAGTGTGCTTTTTGTTTGGTTGGGTGTTTTTGTGGTTGGGTTTGTGGTTTTTTTAATAAGATTAAAATGACAAACTTTAAAAGCCAAACAACTGTGAGTGGCAACTGCAATGCCTTGTCGTTACAGATGAAAAAGAGAGGTTTGACCCTACTCAGTTCCAGGACTGCATTATTCAAGGTTTAACTGAAACTGGCACTGACTTGGAGGCAGTCGCAAAGTTTCTTGATGCTTCTGGTGCAAAACTTGACTATCGCCGCTATGCAGAAACGCTTTTTGACATCCTGGTGGCTGGCGGAATGCTGGGTAAGTCCCGTTGATGGGGCTGCTGTCAGCCTTCATTCACTTGACTTTACCAGAGCTCACTGTTCGCTTTCAGTGTAAACACTCTGCTAAAGAGCCCGCTGAGTGTGTGGAACAGGGTTGAAGGGACCTGTAACTGGCTGACCATCGTAGTGACTGCCTGAGCAACCAGTTACTCAGTTTTCAGGCTGTGCAAACTTGGCTGAAAGGAAACCTACTGGATTTGGGTTTTTTTCACTCAGAATGGCTCTTGACTCTCCAGTCAAGGTCACTTCTGATGCGAGATGGGTGAAAGCATGGTCCGTGGTCGCCAGGCCAGCAGTGTTGCCCTGACAGGTTCTGACATGATCCTGTGCTTTGAGCACCCCGCCCTGTTAACGTGGAAAGTTACACTATGTATGGAAGAATCCGATGTGCTTAGTCTTGGAAATACTGGTACAGATTGTTTGTTGTTGGCAGTAGTGAGGCCATGGGCTTTAGCAGGTGTCAGGGAGAGAGAAATGAGCGGGTGGGTGAGTCAGCAGAAAACAGAACTGAGGAGGTGAAGCGTCATGACAGAAGATCTTGGAGACTTGTGTGCACACTTGTGGAGGGAGCAGAGTGCAACAGATGCTCACCAGCCGGGTAGGGAGGCGATGAAGCTAAATGAGGTTGAAAAGGGGAGGGGAGGTGTGAGTGATCCTTCTGCATTTAGACTTTACATTTCCTACTTGAGTAAACACTGGGAGAAGGGATTCAGACGGCAGGGACCCATTTGAAGTAGAGGCTGTGAAGAGGGCCCGTTAGGTTGTCTGCCTGGGCTGGAGAAGGTCTGTCTCAGATGTTAGTGTTTGTCTGGGGAGGAACAGCACGCTTTAATGAGAAACGTGGCAGTTGTACATTTTCTGTAATGCAATGGAAGTAGAATTCAAAGGAGTGCATAGAGGGGGAGAGGAAGCACTTGACTGAGGGCCACAACCAGAGGGCGGATGGCAGCTCTGCAGCAGGGGTGGCTGGTTTGGGAGGACACCTCTGTTGCGTGTTCAGGTGGTCTTCATGCTGATACTGTAGAAATGTCAGGTGACTTGCTCAAACAGATGCTGAAAGCAGGGCTTTCAGAGTGGTTTCAGTTCCTGGAGTGTGCCTCCTTACCAGAGCTGCGTATGGTATCAGTGTTATGTAGGCTGAAGTGACTGTGATCTTCCTTTTGGCAAGAGGCTCTTTGCTGATGTTACAGGGGCTGGTAGTGTGAGTAAACTTGGCTGCCACGTGGAGCATCACTGCTTGAAACGTTAACGTACAAATTGTTACAGCCTCTGGGTTTACTTTCAGGAGTCTTAATTACTGCATACTGTGTGGGGAAGGGAAAAAAGCGTTGCTGCACTGATGGTAACATAATCAACTCCCTCTCTGTACCAAGTAGCGAAGTAGACCAGCTTTGATCTTCAGTCAGACAAGGCCAAACTAAAAAACCAGCACCCTGTTGCCTTACCACCTATTAATGTTCTTACCAGTAATGGTTATCTCCAGCTTTCAAGTTGTGTTTCTGACTGCAGCATAACAAGAGTATCTCCCTTGTATGTAGGATGGAATAGAACTTGCCGATGAGGTATTCTGGTACTGGAGCTGGGGACTTGAATCCACCCTAGTGAGTCAAACAGCCTGGCTACCAGACCCATGCCTGTATTAAGCAAGAGGAGTGATGAAGTGTCTTCTAATTGGCAGCTAAAAAGCTGAAGTGCCTTTTGAGACTAAAGCTTCAAGCTCACCTCTGGGGGGCTGAGTTTTGAACATTGATCTCCTGTGGTGGCTAACTGTTATTGAAAAGACACGTAGGTACAAAGCAGCGCTGTTGCAGCAGACACTACAAGTACACTTGCTGCGATTCAGCAGCTTCAGTGGCTTCCTGGAAGGGACGGGGAGCTCGTATGGTCACGTTGGCTTACCCAGGGTGTAAATAAGATCTGTTGCCAAGCAGTAGAGGGTGAGAATATTTAAATGCTCATATCTATGCTATCGATTCCACTACAGCAGTGGGGCAGATGGAAACGTTGGGGTGTCTTCAGTGACCCTGTCATTCAGTTTGTGATGAAGGACGACATGTTGCGTGTTACGGGTATTGGAACGCTTAGTGTGGAGGCTACTCACTACTCTTACTGGGGACTACTACTGCTAATGCTGAAACCCTTCTTTAGCCCCAGGTGGTACCCTGGCAGATGACATGACACGCACAAACGTCTGTGTATTTGCAGCACAGGAAGACCTAGAAACCATGCAAGCGTTTGCTCAGGTTAGTTCTGAAATGGGTACACTGTGACTTCTTCTGTTCACTGGTCAACAGTGAAGTGTTTGTGTGTTAAAAGTTTAGGTAAAAATAATGCATGTCTTTTAAGAGGCTTACTAGAAGAGGTAGAGTAGTAGAACAGCAGGCACTGTTCTATGCTGGAGTGCTCTGAAGACTTCAGACCAATTTGACTGAATCTGATTTTTTAAAAATTTTAATTAAATGATAGTTCAAAGAATAATACACTCTGTATGTTTCTAGGTTTTTAACAAGCTAATCAGGCGTTACAAGTACCTGGAGAAAGGCTTTGAAGATGAGGTCAAAAAGGTACGGAGTAGGTCCTTCTCAGCAGACAAATAAACCTCCCAGTTCTGCTGGTTGCTCCCTGTGTAGAAGAGTTCTGTTGTGCAGCGGGGCACTGCAGTGGAACACCTCAGTAGTTAACGGGCGAACAGCTGACCTGTGTGGCCAGTGGAGAAGATGCCAGTGAACTGGTGCGCTGCGAGTGGAACGGCTTGATGGAAACAAAAGTGTCTAACATGGAAGCAGTAGCCAAGCTGTAGTGAGAGGTGGTAGTTCTACAGCAACTCTTTCTTCCTCTTGCAGCTGCTGTTGTTCCTGAAAGGGTTCTCGGAGTCTGAGAGGAACAAGCTGGCCATGTTGACGGGTATTCTGCTAGCCAACGGGACCTTGAATGCATCCATTCTCAACAGTCTTTACAATGAGAACTTGGTTAAAGAAGGTGAGTGTTGCCCAACTCCTTTAGGGACGGAACCATGAGAGTAGGTGGAAATGGTGGTGACAGTACAGCCTCGCAGCTTGCCGGTTTGATGTGGCGACAGATCTGCTCCAGGATTAGCAAAGGTACATGCTGCCTCGCAGGGCCTTGCAAAGACCTCGGGAAACTAGTCTCTTCAGAAAGCTTGTGTGTCGGCCTTCCCTGCATGCCACGGAGGGCTGCTGTCACCAGTGGTGCCCACCAAGGCAGCGCTGTGTTTTGAGAGGGACCTGTCAGGATGCAGAAAGTGTGTCGTGTCTTCAGGCTCCTTCCTAAATGGCAGCAGGAAGAGTTGAGTTCAGTACAGGGAAGCTGTCGTGAGGCAGAGCCGGGAGAAGGGTCCAGCATGCCGGAGGCCGCAGTGTCCTCGGGCAGAGTCACTGCGACTGTGGGAGGGCTGTCTCTGAGCACCACTGCTGCCGCTCTGAGCCTGCGTCTGACACACCAGGGGCCCTGTGCTCCCAGGCCTTACGATTCCCGTTGTTTTGGATTTCAGTAACACATGTCCCTTCCTATTGCACAGGCGTTTCTGCAGCTTTTGCAGTCAAGCTCTTCAAATCATGGATCAATGAGAAAGATATCAACGCGGTGGCTGTCAGTCTTCGTAAAGTCAACATGGATAACAGGCTGATGGTGAGTCCTGCCGAGTCACGGACTGACTGCCTAAGCCACTGAGTCGCTCCTGCCAGCCCAGTGCTCAACACGCCTTTCTTTTCTGAAAGAGTTGTAAACTTTGTTTTTAGGAACTCTTCCCAGCCAACAAACAAAGTGTTGAACACTTCTCCAAGTACTTCACTGAAGCAGGACTAAAAGAGCTTTCCGAGTATGTTCGGAACCAGCAAAGCATAGGAGCTCGGAAGGAGCTGCAGAAGGAACTTCAGGAGCAGATGTCGCGGGGAGATCCGTTCAAAGATGTAAGTAATTGTCTGTAGACAAGGTGTAGGCACTTTTGTTTCTTCTCTTTTTTCTGCAGGAACTTAGCTCAAAAATCGCCTGAAAGACAGCAGCATCTAGGGCTAATCTGAAGCTACATGCCTAACTGAATACTGACCTTAGTTCTTACTGAGAGCTAGGTGCTCAAAATTAGGACCAGGGTGATTTGGCTTTGCAGTCTCTCCTTAGTGTCCCAAATCCCCCTGTAGGATCAAGGGGGTGATTTGTGGTTCTGAAGGCTTCTGGGTTGCCTTTGGATTCAGCATAGTGTCGATTGTGGCCCATGTGCTGACTCTTCCTCTGGCTGGCAGATCATCTTGTATGTGAAGGAGGAGATGAAGAAAAACAACATCTCGGAGCAGACTGTGGTAGCCATAATCTGGTCGAGTGTCATGAGCACGGTGGAGTGGAACAAAAAGGAGGAGCTGGTAGCCGAGCAAGCCATTAAGCACTTGAAGGTATTGTGACATAAGTACGGGCGTCTGTGCCCGCTAGGTAGGGCTTGGGCTTCCCTGTCTCCAGCTGCCTTTTGAAGGAGTTGGTTCCTACTGCCTCCCTCCCGCAAGGCGCTCTTCTCCTTCTAACTGCAGTATTGCCCTCCGGGACGCGCAGTGGGACTCTGGGGCACGGGGAGGGGGCTGGACATCTCTGAGCGGCAGCTGAGGGCGGCTGTGTGAAACCAGTCCAGTGGGGCGGTACAGGCGAAGTGCTCTGTGTGTACCAGTTTGTCCCTCCCGTTGCAGCAATACAGCCCTCTACTTGCTGCCTTTACTACCCAAGGTCAGTCGGAGCTGACTCTTCTGTTGAAGATTCAGGAGTATTGTTACGACAACATCCACTTCATGAAGGCCTTCCAGAAAATTGTGGTGCTCTTCTATAAAGGTAACGCCTGGGGTTCTGGTGTGGGGGCTTGGGTTGGGTTTTTTAAAGCCTGTATTTGCGGAATGCTTCAGTCCTGGCAAGACCGTGGGAGGACCAGCGCCACAGCATTGCGCTTCGTGAGCGGAAGGATGTTCTACCCTCTGTTTGCAAAGATGGAGCAGTAAAATGCAGGGGTGGATGTGGCTCTCCTGGGCATGTGGGGAAGTACTGCTCTAGGCAAGGATGCTGCCTGTCTGCCAGATACTAGGAGTTGGGGTAGATCAAAGCTAAAGGTGGGTTGTAAGACTCTGTCCCCTTTAAGTTAGGGAACGGTACGGGATAGCGTCTTTGTGGTTCTCTGTCTGAACACTGACTGCACAGCCAGAGCCTGTGGCCACCAAGGTGTTTGGGTGCTCTAACAGCCACTGAAGAAAGAAAGAGCTCAGGAGGTGTTGCTGAAAAACCTGCTGTGCGCCTGTGGAAACGCCACGGGAACTTAAGGGAGCTTGTTAAACTGAACGTTGTATTGTGCTTGTAAAATGTCAGAACCAGTTAACCCCTTCCTGCGGTGCACTTGGGCTTTAATGATCATCCGCACCCGTTGCTAGCAGCTGACTGAAGCGGAAGCGTTCCTTTTGGTGTGTCAGCTCAGGCAGCTGTGGCGAACTCCAGGCTGCTAGTGGAAGTGCAGCTCCCAGGTAGTGCTCAGGACAGCCCCTGCACCACCGGAAAGGCGTGGGTTTGGGGAGTTGAAACTGGGAGGCGGGCCTGGCGCAGGTATGTCCAGCCATAGCCGGGGAAGGAGAGCCATTGCAGTGCTTTGGGGGTGGCAGCAAAGGCTGCTGTGGGGTCTCGGGAGCTGTCTTGGGTGCGTTGCTGTTAATCCTGCTCTCACACATCCCACAGCTGAGGTCCTGAGTGAAGAACCCATCCTGAAGTGGTACAAAGACGCGCACCTTTTTTTTCGTCTTTCTGGAGCAGATGAAGAAGTTTGTCGAATGGCTCAAGAACGCTGAAGAAGGTAACCAGCGGCTTGGCCACGGCCTGAGCTGTTCGGTGCAGTAACGCTTCCTTTCGGGAGCGACGGGGGTGTAATGGCCCCTCTGAGACGAGGCATGCCCCCTGTACTGGCTAGGAAAGCTTGTCAGCCAGACCCACGTGGATCCAGCAGCAGTTCCATGGGATGCAGGGGGTGCTGGCCTGCTGGCAGCCTGCTGACACAACCTTTCTGTTCCAGAGTCGGAGTCTGAAGCGGAGGAGGGCGACTGACCTGCGGCGCGGTCCTCAGTAAAGCAAACAGGAGCTGTAGATAAGTGTCATGTCCCCTGTGTCCTTCTGGTTCTAACATCCTACCTCCCTGTAGCAAGCATGATATAAGGGCTGCCATGGCAATTTATTTTAACTGTTTTCTATAGTCACTGAACTACGGGGTTTAGTTTTTCAGCCCATGTTGTAAGCAGCTTACAGGAGCTATTAGAGATCGACTCTAACCTGCATTTGTCCTTTCAGTTCTATTCTACCTCCTGTATTTTCTACTGTAATGATGTAATTTAAGGCCTTCCACGATGAAATCCATTTTAGCCCTGGGTTTTCTATCTCCAACAGCATAGACATGACATGGTGACTGAGATTCACGGTTGTTGTTTGCAAATTAAACTGTAAAAAGCCCCAAAGGGAAGAGGCCATGGCTTCTGTGGTGACTTGGCGCAATGCCGCGCTCCAGGTAACCCCACGTGCTGCCAGCATAAAGCAGTCCTCCGTCCCAGCTGCTGGGCAGGGCAGCTTCTGCTCCTGGGAGCTCAGTGTCCTCGGAGAGCAGCCCTGGTGGTGGCAGGGAAGGACACCCACGGTGGGCTAAGGAGAGGGGTGTCCCAGCCTGCTGGCTGTCCCGAGGGGCAGCCAGACAGTGGTCCTGGGGAGCCTGCTGCTTCCTCCCTGATGGGAGTACAAACGGCACCGTAGAGCGGTCCAGAGCTCCGCTGCTGGCAGGGCCAGGTCAAACCCCACCCCCTGCCCCTGAGCCAGGGGCATTATTTTATGCTGGCAGTTGACCCAACAGCCTACATGCTCCTGCAAGCTCGGAATTCTTCATGGCAGTTCTCAGCACAGCTCCCGGTTTGAGAAAGCTTGGGTAAGAGTGAGGTCGGTAAGCTAGGACGAGCATGAACTGAACACCAGTAACCACAGCGTACCTACTGAAGGAAGAACCTAATGGGTGAGGACAGCGCCGTCTGTTCAGCACTACAGTGTTGACTTCTTTCTAAAATAAAGGCCACCCTTACACCTTGGGCCATCTCTGCTCCAGAAAGGCAGCATCAGTCCCGCTAAAGGATAAATTCAGGCCTAGGTCTCTTATTTACTGAGGAAACGTAACCAGGTTCATCAGTACCTTAAGTTTTATGTCAGCAGCTGAATCCAAAAAGTCGTAATACAAAATAGGGCATTTACAAAATAACTGTACACAATAAATATTTAATGTTTCCTGCATTTCTTTGACGGGCTGACGTCCGTGTCGCCCTGCTCAGCCGCAGGAGGCAGGGCCCCGGCCTGCGCTTTCAGGGGGAAGAAGAAAGGATGTTCCAGGGCTTCTTCAAGAGTAATGGGCGGGCTGACGTCCGTGTTGCCCTGCGGAGCCGCAGGAGGCAGGCCCCCGCCTGCGGTTTCAGGGGGAAGAAGAAAGGATGTTTCAGGGCTTCTTCAAGAGTAATGCGCTTGGCTGGGTCGTACTGCAGCATCTTCTGGACGAGGTCAAAGAAGTTCTTGTGGTCAGAGTTGTGGCAGGTTATCCATTTCTTCAGAAATAAAATACAAGGTGGGGGTTTA